ATGTCCCAACGGGATAAAGAAACAGCATTAATAGATATCGAATGTAAAAAGGACCAGGGAGTGTATGTTGACAACGAACTGAAGTTCTCAGGCCATTGTGAAAAGAAAGCGAGTCAAACAACTAAACTAGTAGGTCTTATAAGAGTGAGGTGCTTCCCCGTCTGGAGTACTGTCACACCATCTTGTCCCCGAGATATGCTAGAGACTGTGAGTGCATACACTTAGGCACCTCAGCTACCCTGCGAGATTAGAGCGCCTGCAGTTGCCTATATAGCTTATACTACAGACGGGCAAAAGGGAACCTAATTGAGGTGTATAATCATCTCAAAGGGCACTACTCAGTCAAGTGTCCATACCTGAAGCTGTCAAAGACAAGAATTAAACTGATGTCAAGTACTCAGAATGACCCTACATTGTGGGAGGGGCTTATAACAGACGTATCAACTTCTACCACTTAGATTCTTAAGATAAGTAGACTGACACTTCCCTTCCGGATAATTAATTACTTTCTAAAATACAAAACTTATAACGATGTTTATATACGCATCGGAATCTCTGATGTTCACTAATCAAAATGATCTAATTTAAGTAGCAATCTTAAGACTCGGGGTATCCCTAGGGACGACGTCAATGATACCTCATTTCTTACAGTAGACTCTACACTGACTTATATTGACAATTTTATTGGCAGCAAACACAGTTGAAGCTTTCAACATCACTCACAAGGAATCTTGAATACTTCATCTCTACTCATACATATCTAATGGACTATATTATAAATGTGTTCTCTCAATTTTAAATTTACGAACAGAGACGTGATCGATCGCCCAAGCGGCTAACGAGCTGATCAGTGATGAGGAGGATGAAAGTAAAATGAGCTACTTGAGAAATACCCGAGTTTCTGCGGTAGTGCTTAATAGAAAATGGAGGACTCAGGCCTCCTGAAGCGGTTAGAGCATGGACGTCTTAACTGGGGAACTCAACAGTTCGTTGTCATCATACACACTGTAGTGGATTTCTCCCCTACAAACGCTTGTCGCTGAGTAGCCGACCCCGCGAATTCCCCAGTGTATGCCTCGTAGTCTAGGTCAACCAGCGTCGCCATACATCACGGAGGTCAACTATTAAGCCACACCTACCTCCGCTATAAAAGACCTGACCTCGTGGTGACCACTCTCCTCTTCTAGCTACAGCCGCAGCAAGGAACACCACCTCCTCCGCCGCTGCCTGGCGGTCCTCGCTCCCGCCGGCGAGCATGGTGACCCACAAGCTTGTCCTCCTCTGAGCACCCTCACCAACCAGCTCTCTCTACTCAACGCTTGTAACCGCGCTGCCTTCCCAGCACCAAGCTGCATTGTACATCCAATACAATATGTATACAGAGAGCACATTGTGAGTTTCCTTTCTCCATCCCATCCTGAGTGTGAACCAAACAACTTATTCCCCACAACAGCCAGGTCCTTTTCACATTCGGTCTATATTAATGTTAACTGATAATGTGAGAATACTATGCATTTAATCTGATGATGCCAACTAAGACACTAAAATAAAAGCCAAAAATAGACTCAAATGTACACATTTTTAACCAGATATACGTTCACTTAATTAAGGTACAAAATTATTTCCAATTATAATTCATACCACAGTTTTGTTTGGTAATGATGGTGAATGTAAAGTTGGTTAGTGAAACATCTCATTGTAATTTTGATGCATTTTTGGTGTGTTTTTTTGCTTTGGAAATGTCTAGCAGGTATTGTGTATTCTTACAATCATCATTTATTATTAATATTCATCACGCGAACCTTACAAGAACTAATCTGGACACTGTTAGATGAGGTATTAATACCATGGGGTACCGCAGGGTAGTGTATTGGGCCCGCTGTTGTTTGTTTGTTTCATAAATGATATGCCTGACGTTGTACACTCCTCCATACAAATGTTTGCCGATGACGCCAAGTTATTTCGGGAAATTAAGAACCAAGCGGACTGTGAAGAGCTGCAGAAGGACCTCTGTGGGCTCCAGGAATGGTCGAAGGAATGGCTGCTGAGATTCAATGTCACGAAGTGTAAGAGGATGCACCTGGGGCGTACCAACGGTAAGGAGGCGTACCATATGTCCCAACGGGATGAAGAAAATGTACTAGTTGAGACTGTGTGTGAGAAGGACCTAGGTGTGTATGTTGACAATGAGCTGAAGTTCTCGGGCCATTGTGAGAAGAAGGTAAATCAGGCAAATAAATTATTGGGTCTTATAAGAAGGTCGTTCAGATATCTAGACGGTCCGTCCCTCGTGACGATCTTCAGGAGTGAAGTGCTTCCCCATCTGGAGTACTGTCACCCCATCTGGTCCCCGAGATATGCTAGGGACTGTCAGTTGGTTGAAAATGTTCAAAGGAGGGCCACCAAGCTGGTGCCTGCACTTCGGCATCTCAGCTACCCTGCGAGATTGGAGCGCCTGAACTTGCCTAGCTTATACTACAGACGGGCAAGGGGGGACCTAGTTGAGGTTTATAAGCATCTCAGGGGGCACTACTCAGTTGAGTGTCCTTACTTGGAGCTGGCGGACGCTCGCCCCACAAGGGGTCACAGCTCAAGATTGAAGAAGCCGCAAGTCCGGAAAACCGTGAGGGCAAACTTTTTCGGAGTGAGGGTTGTAAACTCTTGGAACAATCTACCAGAAAGTGTTGTGACGGCACCGAGTGTGAGCTCTTTCAAGAGAAGACTTGACCAACACTGGAGCGGGTTCAGGTACATTCAGGAGCCGGTGCATGCCCAGTATTTGCCAACAGTGCGTGACAGAGACGTGACCGATCGCCCGGGCGGCTAGCGAGCCGACCTTTTGGTGAAGAATATAAAGGAAAAGAGTCGTGACCGATCGCCCAAGCGGCTAACAAGCCGATCAGTGGCGAAGAGGATAAAAGTAAAAAAAGTAAAAGTATGGCAGTGATGTAACAAATATTTGAAGGTCTATTTTGTTACTTGTACTTATATCATGGTAAGGAGACGTACTTATATCATGGTAGGAGACGTACTTATATCATGGTAGGAGACGTACTTATATCATGGTAGAAAGACGTCTGTTATTAGAGAATTTCTTATGCTGGGGTTTAAACGTTCGGTAAAGAGACCAATGAAAAAACTTTTAACAGCTTTCTCGGACTGTCATTAATTAAATCTTTTTACCGCTTACCACTGTTTGTATACCTACACGTATCTATAGTATCATGTGCTGTATACTCAAGCAATGTAAACATGTATATCGATTTTACTGAAATGTAAATGGATAAATAGTTGTTGGCATCTCATGAACTGGCAACTATGGCTGAGACAGGGTGACTATTGTTGCCTCGTACATAGTTACAGTAGTAAACAACCGTACATGAAAGGAGGAGAGTCTCGTAATAAGAGTTCCAGTCAAGACCATGGCGACAGAAATTTCAGACAAACTGCTTAAAGTAGTGAAAGGTCTCCGTAATAGTGATAAAGACGACAAAAAACAGGTATGGTCAATAATAATGTATGTTGTCAGGGCTACTATACTGTATAATTGTAAAATATAAAGGATTGACTGACTACTGTACTTGGATTTTATTCTTGCCAAGGATGGACATGACAGCTGCACCTAATGTATATAAATATATACCTAGTTGATGATGACTGACGTGCTGTCAATTAACACTGCCACATGGAACAACTCATTCAATCAGAGCATCGTCCTCATATCTGAGTGTTGGAGACCACTAAACATTCTCGGGGTATTAGCGTTTCGGTCATGCAGCGAATTTAGGTTAGGTTAGGTTGGGTTGGGTTGGCTTGGGTTTGTTTTTTGGGTTAGGTTAGGTTAGGTTGCATTAAAATTGTCCTTTTCTGATGGAAAATAGGTGCACGACCAAAACGATAATTTTACCTAGTCTGGCAGTTTTTACCAATCCTCTAATGTTTTGTAACTTTCTTAGGAACCTTTTTTTTTAAATTTCATTCATTCATCACAGTCTCTGCCTTCCCCTGTCTTTCTGTTGTTATCCCCCCATCCCTAATTCTTTCTCTAAATTTTTACTATTCTTAGTACTTCATCAATTGTTTACCTGTCAGTGTATCTTATTCTTAGCATTTGTTTATAACAACACTTCTTTCTGGTGTCTGCTGAAAGTGTCCATGCATCTGACCCATTCACTAGTTCTTGCCATATAAAGCTTTTAGCTGCCGTTTTTCTCAAATTGAAGTTAATGTCTCTTTTCATTAGGTCTTTTAGATTAGTAAATGCACTTTTGTGTGCCCTATTCTTTTTTTGGTTTCTTCCGTACATCAACCACCACAGGTAATTTTAGCTATCTGTACTTCCCAAACACACATAATTTTCTACATGTTTATGTAACCTGTTGCCTATGATAATTTTATTTTAGGATTTATATCCAATTTGGAAACGACCATTATTTTCATCTTTACAGCATTGACTCTTTGACCATATTTTTCACCTTTTTCCACTTATCTAGTACTTTGTTGATTTGAGTCCATCACTGACCAAACTGAAACAATCCACTTAGCATTGTCATGCCTGAATATACTGTACAGTATATACAGTGTATTACCCAGTGGTCATTTCTGCTAAAACCAGACAATGTTTAATAATGCTTATAACAAGCTTCAATGTTTCCTCAAAATGTTCATGACTAAAGGAAGCCCAAAGCAGATCTAAAGATACAGTACTGTGCTGCCTTTTGTAAATTTTTGAATTTTTTAGCCAATGGTCCCCAGGTAAGGACCCTGATGTACCTATGTTCCACTGAACATCAACATCACTGTCTTACAGCCATTTTCCACTTTTGTTTGGGTTAGTCTTGTTTAGCCTCTCCAGGCTGCCATCAGGTAGATTTGAAGCAATTTTACAGCTGGAGGACCTTCCTATCACCAACCCTCTTTTAGAGAGTGAATGACCTTATCACCAACCCTCTTTTATCTGGTGGATGACCTTCTTATCACCAACCCACTTTAAGAGAGTGGATGATCTTCCTTTCACCAACCCACTTTTAGAAAGTGGAACTAGGCATATGTAGCGCTTCCAAGCTCCCTCTTATGTGGCAAGACAGGGTCACAACTCCTGAAGTACAGTATTCAAAGATTAAATGACCAAATACACTGATTTAACATTAATACAATACTGTATCTTATAATATAAGTAAACCATATCCCACAAGGCCAAGGAGCAGGGAGTGAAATGGTGGAGTGGTTGATGTCTTGGGGTGACTCAGTGTGTCTCCAAATTTAGTATTTTCAGTTCACCAGCAATGCTTAGATGCTGAAGCACTAATTTTGTTCTTGCATCATTACCTCTTGCTCTTGTGAAGTTGTGATATAATAGGAGTACAGAAATACTGTACTACATTACTCCCAGAAATGTACACAGAATAACAATCAGAATGTACAATAGTTTCTGTGTGGATGTCAGTCACACAAGAATAACCCGGTATAATGCATCCTTCTTTCTTCACACAGCCAAACTGTGGAATGCTCTGTGTTTCCATACTCCTACAATCTGTCTCACTTCAAAAAGCTGGTTTTCCAGCTTCTTTGTGATGTCCACAAAAATACAAATATAGCGTTATACTAGCTACAGTATAGCTGTACTGCTACTGTATATTTTTCATGAAACTTAATTATAATGGGTATCACAGTTTTAAAATACTGTACACAGAACAGGGCCATGATAGCCATTTTAGTCCTCACCCATATTTCCTGTCTGTCTACTGTACCATTTTTAGTTCCTCTGTTCCCATTTTATAATGGAAAGGTAATTAAAACCATCCAAATTGAATCAACTCAATTTAATATTGAAGACTCCTGTCGTCCAGAATAAGTTACAAATATTGGATCACCAAAAGATGAGATCCAAGCTTATTTCACTTAAGATTAACCACCCTAATTCTATTCTACTTAACCTACCCACCCTTAGGTATTACAGTCCTGTATTAGGGTGAAAAATTAAGATGAAATAGGCTGGGAGGGAGGGATAACCTTCAGGTTATCTCAAATATTTGGTACTCTAAGGAACCCATAAAAAATTTCATGCTCCCCCAACACCTTTGGTAAAAAACATGTTTGCTTCTTCCATGTACAGAACAGTACATAAATAAACTTAACACAGTTAATTTTTTAATACAGTATGTAATAGAATTATTAATACTGTACATATGTATTGCCAATATAGAGATTTAGAGGAATGCAATAATTCAAAATGAAGGTTGTCCGTGTTGGAGGCAGGTGTGTGGCACTCATCGATGTGGTGTCTCATTGTGATGTGACACCCGCCTCCTCCACTTTCTGCCTTACATCCGTCACAACCTTAACTTGTATCGCCGCCTTAAGTATTCTGTTACTGTACCATCATAACCACCTACCGTGACATTGACAAGTTCACTCCGGCTGTAAGTTGTAACCACAACTGACCAATGACGAGAGCGCTGTGTTGGGGGGTAGTGACAGTCAAGTCTTATTGGTGGATACAGTCGTGCACTCTTTGAGTACTGAGGGTGAAAACAATGGGTCAGTCTGTAATGTAATGTGAGAAAGGAAGAGAACAAACATAACCAGAGTTTAATCTTGACACTGACTGAAAGTTTCAGTTTCTCAGTCATCATTGAGGAACTGAATTACATAAGTAACATAAAACAGTTTATGATATGTGTGGCATTGGTGATAAATAGGGTGAACGGAACAGAATTCACTTTTACTTACTGTAATAAATTATAAATTTTAGATCAACAACCAAATTACATTTAATAACTACTGTATTTAAATAATTGAAAGGAGAAAAGGTGATTTGTTCATAATACTGTGGGGTGGTGTTCAACTCTACCGGCCCCATAGAATTGCAGTACACATAAACATTTATTTTATAATTTTATCAGTGTCATCTCAACCACCATAGACAAAGCTGTATTCGTGTATGGCGTTACAGTAAATTGTGTCCATTGGGTAGTGTGGGCTTTGTGTGTGGGTGAATTAGTCTTGCATGTTTGTTTTCTGTTGAATTCAGTTGATACAATACAGTACGTGGCTCAAAAATCACTGATAAAACATTAAAAAAAAAAAACCTGTATTGAAAGAATTCATTTCTGGCTGAGACTGGCTCCTATTGTCCTTGTATTTACAGCTGAAGAGGAAGATGGTGAGCTTCAAAGATAATTGCTTGCATCTTGGTGTTGTCTCTTATTGAGTTTAATATCCAAAGTTGTCATTAAAGTTCTTGTGAATCATTGCAGGAACTAAAACACTGACTGACTGGCTATAAATGCCTCACACATAGACCAGGGAGTGTGACCATTATTCTTTTAACATACTGTACCGTGCTGCTTGTTCCTTCTTGGCATTATTCAGACATCATTACTTTGTCACCTCAGCCAGAAAATTACTGTCATCATCTCTCAGTTGTCTGTCAACTAATTTCTTACTCTTACTGCTTCTATTGATAATTTAATTTGTTACCCCCTCAGTGATCAGTTGGTTTAATGTGGACTTTTTTAAGATCCTCAAATACCCCTGTACATTAAGTTTTGTACTGTGTGATCTATAATTTTCATCTGGATATTGAGATGTTTGCCGACCAGTACCGGTAATGCCTTTATTGGACTGCAAAGAGGCTAGTAATATGTTTTGCAAGAAACTTGTGAATATAAAACCTTTGTTGATAATATTCACTGCAACACAAATACTGTAACATTACAAGAGCACTGTACTGTACATGTACCTTGTTTCTTGTAAAGGTTAGATATGGGTCTTATGAATTTAGAAATCTCTCTAATTTGTTGCCTTGCATTTATGCTGTGTTCACACGTACTGTACCATAATTTTTTTCATGCCTCCTCGGGTGCAGCGAGGTGTTCCTGCAAATAAAAAAGAATTGGAAGAGTGGCGTCAGATTCAAGAATTCTGTAAACTACCCAAAAGAGGACAGGAGGCTTTTTTCAGGTAAGGATGACTACTTTTCAAACTTTAAATAGCAGTACAGTCGTGGAATACAAACCAAATGTGAAGTACAGGAGTGGAATACAAACCAAATGTGAAGTACAGGAGTGGAATACAAACCAAATGTGAAGTACAGGAGTGGAATACAAACCAAATGTGAAGTACAATATGGTATTGATAATTGCTGTGAAATTAGATTATTGTCTTTGCATTGCAGGTTTCTTCGAGATGACTTTTACCCAGAAGATAAAGATATAGTAGATGTACCTGTTACAGCCAAAAATATGACTACTATCTCAGGAAGGTACCAGTTTTGGCTGAAGTATCAAGGATTCGAAGTAGGAAATATTATTGAGTTGTATGTGTATAGAAAAATGCCTCGTAATGATGAAGTGGATGAGCGAGGGCCATGTTTTAATGATGCAATGAAATGCCACGATACGTATAAAGGCAATGGAGGTACATCTAACATGAAAGATTACTTGGAGGAAACAGAAAAGGACGCGGAGAGAGTAGATACGTTTGTAAGTGGCTTAGTAGAAGCAATGGAGCCAGAGTTACGCACATACTTTCAATCTTTCTTGAAAGATCTTGATGACAAATTGAAACCGGTGAAAGCATAAAGTAGTTCCAGTTCATTTAGGAACTTAAAAAATGTTGTTTGTACTGTCGAGAGTTGCAACAATCACCTACCATATTTTTTAAGGAAAAGTATTTGTGTGAACTCAAAATCTACACCAGCATATTCAACAGCTATTTTTAAGCCTGTGATGCCTTACAAACTAGACTTATACTGTACTACCTTTTGGTACTGCATGAGTCAGTATGGAAAATCAGATTTTCTGTCCTAGAGTGTCTTGGTGGTTGTTGTTTGAAGAGCATTACCATGTTAAGCTTATAAACTAGTAATTTTGTAAACCTTATATGTTTCTTTTGTTACCTCCATAATTTGGCCTTGTATCACCTTCCTCATTCATTGATGTGTAGAAAAGAGGACAGTGGATCTACTTTCCATTTTTGTGAAGGAAACCATTTTCTGTACGTCATCTGTAATTCTTTATACAGGATGGTTGACCACTGGTGAGAAAGTTACTTTATTCTGAGACGGTGACAAGTGTTCATACTGGTCGGCACTGTAGGCAATGACACACCTCCAGTGAGTGACTGGTCTTGTGTACACCAGAGACTAACATAAACCTCTCCCTCCCACACTATCCAGAGCAATACTGTACTTATTAAGAGTAATTTTGTTATTTTATTACATTCCCCATAATGTACTTAAATATGTTACATGTACAGTACAATCAAATAAGCATTTTACTTAGCCAATAATATAGATTTAGATTTTATTATTCATGTATTGTTGTAAAGTTGATTCAGATTTGTCCTTTTACAAAATATCATTATTGTTGAGCCCTGAGGAGTAATGGAACACATGTTATTCTCTATGCAAATGTTATTTTTCCATTTGTCATCGGCTTTTAAATTTTCAAGATGTTTATTTTTTTTTTATCACAATGTTTTCAGTAACTTTGTCTCTCTTTTGATCTAATTAACTCTTTAGTAAGAAATTAGCAATAGCAGTTTTGTGAAGTTTATTTTAGATATGTTCATATTCAAAATAATAAACATCTTAATAATGCATTCCGTACAACTGTTGACATTTTCAGAAACTTTTGTTCTTTCAAAATTTTTGTTGGGTTCAAGAAATTTAGATGCTTGAGTAAAGATATTATACCTACGGTAGACCCTATATCTCCGTGCTGTGATGCCTCTAAAGTGTTGACTGCGGGCCCATCAACAAAAACAACCCTATACATGTACTTCATGGCCATAATAACTTGACCTGTTTTTGTAGTGTTCCTCTAACTTTTCAGATTGAGGGCTGAGATATAAATGTCTTCCTGGTGCAGCTTAGTTTACTGTACTGTACTGTACTGTACTGTACTGTACTGTACTGTACTGTACTGTACTGTACTATACTGTACTGGGGTATACAGTTCAAGGCATTGTATTTATTTGTTGAATGTAAATCCTAAAAAGAGTAATTACAGTACAGTATTTACTTAACATCTTGTGTATTTACTATGCAGGGTAAGATCATCAAGATAATCTAGAGTTTATTATTAAGTGATTCATTATGTAAAATTGAAACGAGTAAAACAAGTGATATTGAGAGACAAGTATTGAATGCAATATACTGTACTGTACTGTAATATTAGCAGGAACAAATGGTGCAGAACGTTTCCAGCTTTCCATATTTGAGAGATCTCTGGGTATTGGAAAGTTCTGGGGTTCAAAGATTCTTGCTATCAGGGATATTATTGTACTGCACTGTACTGTATGGTAATTATTAACCAAGAATTTATTAAGAAATATAAGGGCTTTAATAAACCTTTTCAATTGCTACATAAGCAGTGCCATCCATTTCTAGATACAGGTATCGATATAAGCTTAATGGGGCTTTTTTATTCTAAGATTATTTTAAAAGAATAAGTTATATAATTATTAGTTCACAACCACCTTTCAGTGTGAGGTGTTCTTGTGTGATAACTGTAATAACTATAATGGATATACTGTATCCCAGAAAGTTGACCAACTATGTAAATTATAATATGAAACTTGAGATGTATGTGCGGTATAAAACACTTGACCTTCATGTGACCCCTCAGTGACATAAGGTCCTGTACTGTACAGTATAAGCTCAGACAGGATTGGTTATTTTCTCTAATGTGGTTTTCATGTTATACAAAATTCGTTATAGTTTTGTATTGAAATTTAAAGATGTAATTTGTATTATATTGGTAACCAGTGTAACATTAGATATAATATGATTACAGTGGTCCCTCGATTAACGAATGGTCCAATTAACGAAATTTTGGTTAACGAATTAGCTCCCATAAGGATTTTCAGTTCGATTAACAAAAGCCTTACGAGAAACATGTTTTGTTGTGCGCATCAGCTGATTGGTCTGTCCGCCAGTACAGTAATCAGTTCAATGTTTACATTCGTTTCCAGTGTTGTAAATGTCAAGAAAGTTGGTCTCTTGAATATTTCTGCATTTTTTATATTAAAATTATTGGTCATTCTAAGATATAGTTAACATATTGATAATATATACAGTACAGAGAACAGTTTTTGTGTGCCCATCAGCTGATTGAATCACCTAACAACGCTTCCCAGTTTAACTTTGTTTACAGTAGAGTGAACATCGAGTTTGTTGGTCTCTTGAATATTTTTGCATTTTTACATTAAAATTATTGGTCATTCTGTAATTTAGTTCACATATTGATAGTTATTATGAAACACGAAGAAGGCATTAGAACCAATGCACTCTGTAAAGAATATGGCATGTCATCATTGACTGCCTCTACAATCAGCTGTTTGATATGTAAACAAAGCTGCTGGGAATACGACATACACACCTCAAAGTAAGTTAAAATACAGTATTCTATTGTCTTTTATTTATTATTGTACAGTATACTGTGCAGTACAGTACTGTATTTATTTTATACTTAATGTTTTGTTAATTCTATTACCGATATACAGTATTTTGTATGTACTTTTTCTGAGAGTTGGAACCAATTACAGTACCCAATATCCCATTGAAATAATAGATTCAGTTAACGAAATTTTTGGTTAACAAACGACTCTGTGGAACCAATTATGTTCGTTAATCGAGGGACCAATGTATTGTGTTCTGATCAGCTGTGCTCAGGGAGTACCGGGTTGGCTCATTTCTGTTGATTATTTTCCCTGAGGTGCAATTTATGAGTGATAATTATTTCTAATATGAAACATGATGGCATTTATTGTTACTACTCATAAATAAGTTTCATATTCCAAAATATTTTGTCACTAGTTTTATGAATGGTGCTAAATAAATTTCTTTTGTATAAACAGTAGTATTAATAATCCTTGCACAGAAAATTTACCCGACCGTCAACCAACTTCAGTATATCTATTGATTCCAGTGAACTCTCCAATCCACCTTACATCAGCTGCACTGGTAACTTAAGAACCACATACACACACACACACACACACACACACAACAGTAGAAATGTGATTTAAAAACAGAACTTGATAATACAGGAGTTTCTGAGTTGTGCAGTAATGTAACAAATTTACTGGAGTACTGTACTAAAGTAAAAATTTTTGGGTACATATTTACTTTTTTAAAAAGTAGTGTACTCAATTTTTTTGGTACTTTCATTGAAGTATGGTTTTCTAATACTTTTACTCCATTACAATTGAAAAACAAACAACAAGTGTTACTTGTTACATGCAAACTAATAATATATTTTTTAATTAATTATATTAACCATAGTAAAAGAGCTGTGTGGGTGGAGGGTATGGTAATAATATTAATAGTAATAATAATAACAATTAACGGTTTATTGAAAAAGTTCTGCAGCCTGAAGGCTGAAAATATACATTGGACAAAAATGATTTATTACATACAAAGACATGGGGTAGGTGGGTCTTTTAACAAAAGCTTTCATAACTGAAAGAAGAAGGAACATGAATTGAACAAACAGATTATTATAGTTTACAGTTGGCCTGGGCCTGGGCTGGTCATTGAGACACCAGGTGGTGTGGTGTTCACGTGGTGTAGTAACGCGTCCTCGGATGTTGATATGAAGGACCTCGCGTGGTCATGGAGACGTCGGGTGGTGTGATGTTCACGTGGTGCAGTAACTCGTCCTGGGTGTTGATATGAAGGACCTCACGTGGTCATGGGGACACTGTGTGGTGTGGGGTGGTGTCACAATACCTCACTCTCTCTGCTCGGTGATGTGTTATCTCGTAGTCAGGTGCATAGCCTGCCCCCTGTTGTTCCCAGGGTGGACGGATTAACATCGTCTGGCCAGAGGATGGTTCCCAGGGGTGTTTATCTCACTGGTGGGTCACGGCTCTCGTTGATCCTGTCTAGTGCTGAATTCACTGGCTTAAACACTGTTCATAACTGTTCAACACTGGTTCGACTTCTTTCCGAAACGAAATTGTCACTTTTGATTATGTTGATATCCCGGTGGTGAAGATGGGTCGGGGAGAGGGAATTCAGGAATGGGGCTGAACATGGCCAAGGGGGGCTGCTGCTCAGCAGGAGCAGTGCCTGAATTGGTCTTGACCCTACGGTGGTCAAGGATGTAGTATGGGTGGAGCTGTGAAGGGTATGGTGTGGGTGTGGGTTTGGGGAGACACCACTTGGTCATATACCTAGAGGTCTTGTGAGGTGAGGTAAGGTCAGGTCAGGTCAGGTGGCAGTGGCGATGACAGCGGACCTTCCCTTTGATCTTCTTGTGTCCATTAACGCCTTGACCACCCACCTCACCTAGCCTACTCTCTTATCCTCCCTTCCCCATCGAGTACCCTCTCTTCTCCCCCACCTTTCCTTCAGGGGCTAGGTCATCCCGTTAGACGTCAGTTGCTCTTTTCATACAGTATACCTGTACTGTACCTAAAATGAATTTCAAAGAGACTTTGATTCTAAAATGCTTTACATAATTCTGTAATAGATATAAAGCCTGTATCTATACATATGTGCAAGACTGAGTGCATTTAAAATTCTGCTTAAATAACTAAATACCACTGCACCCTCCCTCCTGCCAGCACTGCCCAGATATTACGGGGTGTGAAAAATTCAGCCACACATTAACTAGAATCGAAAAGTAATGTCACCACAGCCACACCCCAATTAGAGGGGTGAGTCTTAATCAAACTCAGTCACTATGGAGGCAACAATTATCCACAAACTTAACTGAAGGAGCTTGATTGCTGCATGGCATGCCCAGGAGATGGAATGGAGTTACTGAGGTCTTCCCGACATTATATGACTTATCTCTGAAGCTTAACTTGCTATTGTCTGTTTAGTCATGCTGGGATGATTATTTATTATTTAATTGATTTATTACACCCCAGGGGGCAACAAGCCTAGTCACAAGACCATGTGGTTAGACCCAATACATTGGTACTCATATCTCGCAGGACACGCTACGACTTGTGATATGGAGACAATATTGATATGATTTAAAGACAATGAGAGTTAGCGCCCACCAAAGCGTGGGTAGTGTATGAGTATTAAATCTAAATTATTACGTTAAGTAGGTGGTGACCTATAGTGGTTAGTGACTTGTCCTGTGGTAGGAGGTCCCTGACAGTCAAGGCATTAGTGTTGAAGGGCGTTAGCATTGGGACAGTTACAGAGACAACATTATGTCTGTGGACCATAAGTCCACTTCGATGATACTTGGTTGGATAAGGAAGAAAATGATCATAGTGTTGGATGTATATATATTTCAGCTCGTTCACTATCCCTACGATGGATTGTAGGGAGAAGAGCGGTTGAACGTATGAAGGGTATTCTCTTTCGGTAGGTCATGCTGGGCTTATAATATTCAGGCCAAAATTTCAAGAATCAGTTATTGATTACTCCCAATAGAATGATTTGCAAATAAACATGTGTAATGCTATGTGTCTTTTATTTTTACCTTTAGTTAACTAGTATTTTATATTTACTGTACTGTGGATTTATTTGAATATTTGAGACAATTAATAATTTTGTTGTTACCTTTTGCTTTTAGTTCTTGAGTACTTTATGCATAAAATACTTTTACTGTTCTTAAGTAACAAAGTTCGGTTCTTTTGACAACTCGGGGAGCTTCACAGTTAAAATTTTCCGTTGTATTTATAGTCATGCATTTACAATGATGCAAAAAGAAATTACAGATAGTAGAGTATCAGGTTGTAATGCACAGATTCTTATCTAATAGGAGAGAAAGAAAAATTGTAGAATGAAATATACTGTATACAGTTTTCCTTCAGACCTTTATGATATTGTCATCAAACCTCCTTAGGCTGGTTTCTGTTGCCAATTGTTGTAGTCCCACAGACTGTTGCCATTATGTAAACAATCATTATTTAATTTTCTCCCACCTAATAAACATTTTTGCCTTAAAACAAACACATCTTTGAGATCCTTCTAATATATACAGTAATGCAGTACAGTAGAAGTGGCAGCGTTTTCCTTAACCCTTACAAAAAATTATAAAATACGACTAAAGCTGGATGGAAGGTTAATATGATTGATTTTTTTCCAGGTTAGTGAAAGTTAACAGCTCCTCGAGGGACCATAATACATCACAATTCAGGTATGTCCAAGTCATTGTTTTGTACTTGCTTGGGAGTCTTATGTCTGCACGAACTAAGTAAGTCGCCGTTACCTCCCATTGTACTAACCACAGTCATACATGCTAGTTAACTTAAAATCAGATGATTCATATTACGCTCAATAGTCCATAAAATATGTAGCTACAGTTATCCCTCGGTTAACGAGTGCCTCGGTTAACGAAATTTCGGTTAACCTTCCATAAGATTCTTAACTTCGGTTAACGAGCATTCCCTCGATTAACGAATTCCTTACGAATTTTTCCCAACATGTTTTCGTCTGCATTTGGCTGCCCACCAGCTGTAGTAGTAGTCCGCCAATACCGTACAGTAATCGGTTCTAGGGCTTAAATTCCTTACTATTTTAGTAAATATCAAGAAGTTTGTACTATTCAATAATTTTAAAAGTCTTATATTAAAATTTTTAGTCATTTTAATAAGTATTTAACATAATTTAAGTACAGGGAAACTAGTTTTTAGTGCGCCAAACAGCCTGTCAACACACCATACAGGCGTCAGTCTCTGTGTCTTTTCAGTGGAGGTAACATCTTGCTTCAGACTCTCTTCAACATAAATGCTTTTTTTCTGTGTTTCCAGTCAAATTATTGGTCATTTTGAAATTTATTTTACATATTGACAATATATAATGCAGTGCAGTGTTGATTTAAAGAAAATAATCTTTAATTACACCAAGTGAACTAAAATTTTATGGGTGAAATGGCGCCATGGGGTGACTTCTCTTCCACCCCAATTCCTTCTCTTCTTCCTTCTCCTCCACCCCCATTCTAATTCCCATCATCATCATCAAGGAGCCTTCTACATACACACCACTACCTGTACCTTTTTTGTTGACTTTAGGCAATTTTCGTTAAGCTGGAACCAATTACCCAAAAACCCATTGAAACAATGGTTTCAGTTAACGAATTTTTCGGTTA